GGATTTAAGAAGACAAGAGGTGTGAGACCCTGAGACTTGGACTGAGTGGTTCCCATAGCAACAGATTATGTACAGAGTGAAGAGGAGATAGAGAAGGAACAGAGCAGGCGGGTAGGAGGAGACAAAGAGAATCATTTCTCCACAGGGAGCAAAGGCAGGATCACAAGTCCAGGCAGGAAAGTGCAGCGTACGAGGAAAAGAGAGACGGAGGGAGTAGAAGGAGAATGGTTTGGCATAGGTCATGCAAAACGAGAACAAGGAGAATCACTCACCAAGGAAAGCGTACTTTTCTTGGCATGGGTTTGAGTTATTCTCGGGTCCCTGAAGGTGATGTCCCACAAACAGATCATCAGGGAGGGGAAAGACGAGGCCCTGTCCTGGACAGGAAGTAGTGTGTGTTCCTATCTCTGGGAATAGCGTCCTGTACCCAGAGAGAGGAATGAGTTTTCTGACACACGGGTGTGATTTTGAGGCAAACGAGACCAGCGGAAAACTGCAACGAGAGTGTGGTGCGACCGGCCAATAGATGGAGACAAAGGACAAGGAATGGGATGGGAGAAAAGAAAGAGAGATAGTGAGTGAGCAGGACAGGGTGATAGATCTGGAGGTTTAGTGGCCTCTCCTGGCCTCTGTTCAGATAGTCTGACACTACTACATGGTACCAGGCTTCAGCCACTCTCCATGATCCCCTCAATCTTGTATATTTCTTGTGTTCAAAACCAGAGCCACATGGGGACTCCTAAAAATTAACTAGTTTTGTCTGGCTTTGGTGGCCCACACCTTTGATCCCAGCACTTGGGAGGCAGAAGTAGGCCTCTGTGAGTTCAAGGCCAGCCTGGTCTACATAGCCAGTTCCAGGCCAGCTGAGGCTAAAGGGAGACCCTGTCTCAAAAATACCAAAAAAAAAAAAAAAGCTAGTTTGTCTGCCAGCTTGAAATACAACATTGGCCTTCTTGGACCACAGCTTCTCTATGCTGACCCTGAGGAACTACTTTCCCCGTTATCCCATTGAAACAGAAGATTTCACCTCAGTGATGCTGATCTCTAATTAACCACAGCTGATTCTTCAGCCCAGTTGATCAGCACCCTATTGTCCCAATGAAGCACAAAGGGTTTCATTCACTTCAATGGTACCAATCTTTTATTAATCACAGCTGATTCTTCAGTTCCAGCTGATCAGCACACACACACAGTCTTAATCCAAAATATTATGCAAATGGCCCCTATCAACTCTTGATAGAATATCTGCCTCCCCTGAAACTTCATAAGCCAGGTCTCCACTCTTTCAGCATTCTTCTCTTCCAAGACCCCACAGAATGGCCCATTAGTTAAGCTCTAATCACTTAATGGCTTTTCTAGTCTGGAGTGGCAAAGTCATCTATATTCTTCCCAAGACAACATGGTCAGGTTCCTCACAATAGTACCCCATTTCTCTGGTAACAATTTCTGTTCTAGTTTCCTTTCTGTTACTGTGGTAACACTCTGACCAAAAGCAACTTAGTGGAGGAAAAGGTTTATTTCAGCTTATACATTCCATAGTCCATCATTGAGAAAAGTTGGGCAGGAACTCAAGCAGGAACTTGAAGCAGAAACCATGGAGGAACACTGCTTGCTGACTACCTTTCTGGCTCATGCTTAGCCAGCTTTCTTAGATAATCCAGGACTACCTTCCAAGGGAATGGTGCCACAGTAGGCTGGGCCCTCCTTTATCAGTTAACAAAACAGTTTCCCACAGACATGTCCCTCAGGCCAGGCCAATCTGGGAACAATCCCATTGAGACTCCCATCTCAAGTGACTCTAGGCTGTATTAAGTTGACAGTTAAAGCTAACTAGGACACCCACTATACTGTGGATCATAGGCTGGTCTCTGAGAAGAAGACTGTTAGAAAAGCTCATCCTCATGACCCACCCAGACTTGCTGAATCAGAATCTGTATTTTATCAGCCTCTTGGGCGGTTTCCCATGGCCACTGACCTTGACTGTTGTTGCTGTTGCTAAATTAGAGGGAACCACAACCACATACAACAGTTTTTAATTTTTTTACTTTTTAAAAAAATATATTTTATTATTTTTATTTTATGTTTATGAGTATATTGCCTGCATGTATGTGAGTGCACTCATGTCATACAATGCCATGGAGGTCAGAAGAGGGCATCAGATTCCCCTGGAACTGGAGTTAAGGATGGCTTGTAGCCACCATGTAGGTGCTGGGAATTGAACCTGGGTCCTCTGCAAGAGCAGTCCGTGCTCTTAATCACTTAGCCATCTCTCCAGCCCCTTATTTTTTTACTTTTTAATTTATACTTTGTTTATGCACATGTGCACATGCACACATGCCACAGTGCGTGTGTGGATGTCAAAGCCAACTGGCAGGAGTCAGTTCTCTCCTTTCACCCTAAGGACCCCAGGGAACAAACTCAGGTAGTTGGACTTGGCAGCAAGAGCCATCTTCTGAGCCATCTCAAAGGCCCACCTGCAGCAGTTTGAGTGGGTAATCCTCAGGGTTCTAGGTTATACTCCCTTATATTTTTGTAACAATTCCTTAACTTAGATCCAAAATTATTGAAACTAAATTTTTACTAAATTGTTCTCAGCCTTGTATAAAGGCAAACTCTTCTTCATATTTGTTTTTATAAAATACAATCAAATGAAATGAAAATTTAAATGTATTCTCTTTGGATAGATCACTTTTATTTCTTGGTTCCTTTTGCTCATTCACCTAAGTAACTTTGAAAGGTACTTAAGGATTTTTTTTTTGTCCCTCAAAAATATGATTATGGGGGCTGGAGAGATGGCTCAGGGCTTACCAAGTGAGTACTATTCTTGCAGAGGACCTGAGTTTGGTTCCTAACACCCACATTGGGTGACTCACAACTGCCTATAACTCCAACTCCAGGGCATCTGTATATCCTCTTCTGGGCTCTGAGGGGCACCTGCACTCACTCTTGTGCATAAACCCCCACACAGCCATACACATAATTTAAAAAATAATGAAAGTAAATATTTTTCAAATGTGATTCTTTTGTTTCTTAAGGACATTCCATGAAAATATAATAGACTGGAGGTTAGTTATTGACCATAGGATGGTTATTGAACTTGTTTTTCCAAAATTGTTCTTCCAGAAGTTTTATAAGATGGCTTTTAAAAATGGGTATTTAGGGGGCTGGAGAAATGGCTCAGCAGTTGAGAGCACTGGCTGTTCTTGCAGAGGACCAAGGTTCAATTCCCAGCACTCACATCAAGGAGCTCACAACCACCTATACCTCTAGTTCCAGGGACTCTGACACTCTGACCCTCTATTCTGGCATCTTCAGGCACTGCCACTCAAGTGGCATTCATACATACACATACACACACACACACACACACACACACACACACACACACACACTTAAAAAAAAATAAGTATTCAACCTCCCACTAGATTTAAGTTCTTGCCTGTTTCCTCAGTTCCAAAAAAGGAGGTCTAGAAGTCACTAAGATTCATAGGTAGATTAGAAATAGTCACACAATTTTCCTTTGGAATGCTGAAGAGTGATGGAAAAAATAACCAGAGATATATGAAAATATTTAAAAAATTTTCTTTTATTAACTCAGATACTGATTAAATTATATAATATTATGCTAAGCAATGAAGATGTATGGACAAAGACAGTCTGCCTTAAAGAAACTTCATTTAAGTGACCTCCACAATAGGCATAGGGATACAGAACATATTTCTGAATCTCACTCTTCTTTTTTCTTTTTTGGGGTCTTTTTGAGCCAGGGTCTCCCTGTAGCCCCAGCTGTCCTGGATTCACTATGGAGACCAGGCTGGCTTCGAACTCGCAGAGATCCGCCTGTCTCTGCCTCCCGAGTGCTGGGATTAAAGGCATGCGCCACCACGCCTGGCCTAAATCTCACTCTTTTGAAATAATTTTATAACAGAGATTTGATTTTTTTCCGTCTCCTTTCTTCCCAAATACATGACTTTGGATAGCTCAAAAGAACTGTCAGGTTTTTTTTTTTCCTACAAAGGAATAGTATATGAAATCATGTTATATTTCCACCAGTTTAAAATATTTTATTATTTTTTATTTTATGTGTATGAGTGTATTGCCTGCATGTAAGTGCACCCATGTCATGCAATGCCCACAAAGGTCAGAAGAGGGCATTGGATCCCCTGGAATTGGAATTAGGATGGTTGTTAGCCATCATTTAGGTGCTGGGAATTGAACCCGGGCCCTCTGCAAGAGCAGCCAGTGCTCTTAACTGCTGAGCCATCTCTCCTGCCCTGCCACCATTTTAATAATATTTCATATGATCTTTTTTATTTGAAGGAGATGAAACAGGGTCTCATTATGCAGTCCAGGTTGGCCTTGAACTCGTGATTGTCCTACATAAGCCTCCCACATACTAGAATTACAGGTACATGCCCCCATTCATGATATGTTTCACTTTCTTAAATCTTTACTTACTTGGTTACCTATGCTTCATTTTTTTTTTCCCTCAGAGGCTCTCCTCTGATCACTCGTTCTTAGTAACTGATTCTGAGTGTATGCTTTTTCTTGTAGCACTATCTTGTTTTGCTAGGTCTTTGGAGGCATAGCAGGACTACTAAGTCTCATTAGTAGAATACTGACATTTTAAGTGCATTTTAGTAATATTGGAGAGAGATGACACTATTGCAAATTCTGTGGGCTGAGATTGTGTTTATTTTTTGGATTGGATAATTATTATTTGTTGGAGCATTTTAAAACACACTTGGAGCATTTTAAAACACCTTGGAGCATTTTAAAACACACTTAAGTTTTGCATCTTCCATTTTTTTATACAAAGTTTATTGTGAAGATCTGATGACTATATATTATATATAGACATGCAATGCATTGTATAGCTTAGCCAAATTCAGAGAGAAAAATATTGTTCCTTAAACCCAAAAAGCATAGTAAGATCTAAGTATATGACAAAGTTCAAGTTAGACTATTTCTATAAGATGAATGCTTTCTATTATATCTAGGAAGAACATCTTCTGTTCCAACTTGAAGAGGGGATTGAAGCTTTGGAAACTGCAATTGAATACAAGAATGAAAGTATCAAGAGTCGCCAGAACTCACTGAGAGCATCATTCCAGAATCTCTCTCAGAGTGAAGCAAATATTTTGGAGAAATTAGTTTGCCTGAATCTTGTTGAGATTAGAGCTGTTCTTTTCAAATATTTCAATAAGGTTTGTTTCCAGGGAACAATATTTTTCCCACAAAGAAGAGTGGATAT